ACTGCATCAGACTGTTTAACACCTTCCAAGCCCAAAAGCAGTGTTCTCTGCGATCCCCGTTTCTGTACTATTGTGGCTTTTCCTCTTTAATTTGTGCTCCCACCAGCCCTGTTCATCAAAAAGAAGGAAACGAGACGCTGGATGTTCTGCCCAACAACTCAACATCACAACAACGAGGGATGGAGACACAAGAAGCAGAAGATTGTGATCACGTCAGTCTCTGGTGCAAACAGGAAGTAGGTGATAGAGATGACAACTGGAAACCAGTAAGATGTGGTGAGCATCTCAGGATTACGACAAAGAGGCGACAAGTCCAGCATTCACCTGTCAAAACAAAGAGAAGCAAACAGGCCGAGTCGTCTCCAAAGGCGCTGTCCTGTAAAGTCGGCAGAGCTTGGTGTGGCTCAGAGAACATGCTGATTAAACACTCCTGGGGCCATGTGGGCGATTCAAAGAGGCTCTGTGGAGTGGGGGAACGGTCTGAGTCCACAGGGGAGCTGAGGAGCCACCTTCAGTCACCTGAATGCGCACAGCTGTAACTTCTGTGGAAAGTTATTTCTTACCATCACTGGCATCAAGGGCCACATCGCTCAACACAAAGGACACAGGCTGTACAGATGTGAGATTTGCCAGAAAGCGTTTCCTGAGAAGTACGAGCTAAATAATCACAAGTGGGTCCATCTAGGGAATAAGCCACACAAATGGGCCATCTGCCAAAACACATATGCTTCAAAACACAGGCTGAAACTTCACCACCACCATTGTCATGACTCGGGTCAGGTGGACGAGGAAGAATGCACGTCTGCGAAATCTACAGCAAAACATGTACGACAAAGCAGACAGAGTGCCACCTGTACTACCACAGGAAAGGGAAGCCACACGCTTGCACTAGGCGCAAGAAGCAATTCTCATGCAAATCAAACATGGAGACTCACATGAGGGTCCACACTGGGCAGAAACCTTTCAGATGTCCCGTCTGTGCTAAAGGCTTTAGACTTGGCCCATGGAAGACTCCTCCAGAGATGGATCGGACAGCTAGTGCTGCACATAATGGTCAGTTTTCATCACGGCTTCTGCAGCATTCACAAAGTTAAACGCAAGACGTTACAAAGCTTTTAGATGCCACATGGCATACAGTCTACTACCTTTTTATTTGTTACGCTGTTCAAAGATTGAGGTGGCTTCAGATTATCTTGTTCTGTTGTTAAATATGTTGAAACTGGGCCCTGATGCTACATAAAGGATAAGAGTAGTGATGTTCTGGAGCAAAAGCCCCTAAAAGCCAACATTCGAATCCATCTCTCGATGCTCTGATTTCCTTACCCTATTTGTTCCTCTCAGCTCCACGTCTGTTCGTTCCTACTGAAGATGTAAATCTTTAAATCATCTCACAAACATAGTTTTACCTCAGGCTGGACTCGTAGTCGGGTATGCTGGGTCCGTAAACCCAACACAGATCAGAGCTCAAGGCGCATGAGTCAAGGGATTTTTGTTTTGTAAAAATTACGACCTGAATTTTTAAAAACTCCTCATAAATGTAGAATCTTAAAAGTAGGTATACAAGGCTCCATGAACCCAGCACGGGTCAGAGCAGGCGATTGATGCTGATCCGTCATTGTGGAAGAATCTAGACCTCCATTCCTAAAACCTTGGTAGTAGGAGCATCGTTGGTTCAGAGCTGGTTTGGCTCTGTAGACGGGATTTGAAAAGAAGAAAAATATTGCATGTCACTGGACTCACCATGTAAATGCAGTGTGCACAGGAGTGCACGTTGTAGAGCCTTGTACACAATGCCATGATACCAAACACCCTAAAGGTATTTAAATGTCTCAGACTGTTGGTTTAAACACAGAGATCCTACTGAATATGGACAAAGTGTTGAACTCATGAGTAAAATTTTTAATGAGGCATTTTTTAAAATTGACTTATGGTTCAAGAATTTTTATTTTAAGCAAAATCTTGTCATTTTTACTTTTCACCGGGGTTATTTTTATTCAAAGCCCAAAAGGTTTTAAATGGTGTTTTTCCTTTTACTGATTGTTTCAAAAACATGGACAGACAAGTTGTTTGTTCTGAAAGTTTCTGGATTTTTACGTTGGACACTGGGAGATGAATTGTCTGTTTCCTTGTGAACATGACAAAGTGCTCGACCATGTTGTGTCCAGTTACTTTAATGGTTGGATTCACTGCAGTGTTTTTTCACCCTCCTTGTTCTGCTATATACAAACCAATAAACAGATATTGGCTTATTTCTGTTGTATTAGATATTTGTACAGCTGTATATAATTGATTCCTGTTTCAGCCACTGTGGGAAATTCCAGGTTTCATTGAACTAATACTCTTTGCTACTATTCTTCACTTACATTTCAAATGTTTGCCAATATTAGAGATTAATAATTTATGTAGAAATAAAAAATCCTCCACCTTTACTAGCTGCAGCTTTAAAGTGGTGTATGCAGTAATGCACCAATATGTTAAACGCAGTAATTTCACACAATGCCTCCAGAAAGTATTGACAGCACTTACCTTTTTCCACATTTTGTTAGGTTACGGCCTTATTCCAAAATGGATTAAATTCATCGTTGTCCTCAAAATTCTACAAACAATACCCCATAGACATGGTGACTAAAGTTTTTGAAATATTTGCAAATTAAAAAAAAAAAGTACACAAGTATTCACAGCCTTTGTTCAATACTTTGTTGAAACACCTTTAGCACCAATTACAGCTTCAAGTCTGTTTGAGTATGATGCTACAAGCCTGACACACCTATTTTTGGGCTGTTTCTCCCATTCTTCTTTGCAGTACCTCTCAAGCTCCATCAGGTTGGATGGGGAGCGTCAGCCATTTTCAGTCCGGTTCAAGTCTGGGCTCTGGCTGGGCCACTCAAGGACATTCACAGAGTTGTCCTGTAGCCACTCCTTTGTTATCTTGGCTGTGGTCTTAGGGTCATTGTCCTGTTGAAAGATAAACTGTCGTTAGTCTGAGGTCCAGAGCGCTCTGGAACAGGTTTTCATCAAGGACATGTCTGTATATTGCTGCAGTCATCGTTCCCTCAATCCTGACTAGTCTCCCAGTTTCTGCCACTGAAAAACATCCCCACACCATGATGGTGCCACCACCAAGCTTCACTGTAGGGATGGTGTTGTCCAGGTGGTGAGCGGTGCCTGGTTTCCTCCAGACATGATGCTTGGCATTCAGGCCAGAGAGTTAAATCCAGTTTTATCAGACCAGAGAGTTTTGTTTCTCATGGTTTGAGAGTCCTTCAGGTGCCTTTTGGCAAACTCCAGGTGGGCTGCCATGTGCCTTTTAGTTTTACTGAGGAGTGGTTTCCATCTGGCCTCTTTACCAGAACTCTTTCAGAATGACCATCAGGTTCTTGGTCACCTCCCTGACTTAGGCCCTTCTCTCTCGATCCCTCAGTTTGGCCGGGCGGCCCGCTCTAGGAGGAGTCCTGGTGGTTCCAAACTTCTTTCATTTACGGATGATGGAGGCCACTGTGCTCATTGGGACCTTCAATGTTGCAGAAGGTTTTTTGTACCCTTCCCCAGATCTGTGCCTTGATACAATCCTGTCTTAGAGAGCTACAGACAATTCATTGGACTTCATGGCTTGGTTTGTGCTCTGACATGCACTGTTAACTGTGGGACCTTATATAGACAGGTGTATGCCTTTCCAAATCCTGTCCAGTCAACTGAATTTCCCACAGGTGGACTCCAATCAAGTTGTAGAAACATCTCAAGGATGATCAGTGGAAACAGGATGCACCACAGCTCAATTTTGACTGTCATGGCAAAGGCTGTGAATACTTTCTGGATGCACTGTATATACAGTGTATTCTCTTGAAATGGGCCATTACACAAAACATTTGGTACTTTATATTTTGATGAGAGTACTGTTGTACAGATGTTTTAAATGTAATCGGTGTAATTTAATCATTAATTGTAAATTTCTAATAACGTATTTAAAATTTCTACAAGTATTTTCTGTCTGGTGTTTGTGTCAAATATGCCTGTGTTTTCATTATTAGGCTAAAAACAATATCTTTAATGTATTTTGTCTTACAATGAGCGTTTACAGGGTATATGAAGAAATCAAAGCACAAATTGCCTACTCAAAAAGAGACATTTTAGAATTTTTATCTACAATTCTTTTCGTTGCCAAGGTGTACCTACCTTACCCCTATTGTTTTTGTTTGTGATCGGACATGTTTTGTAGCCGTACCAACATCCGGTATCATACTGTCCGTGTTTATGTGCGAGCAGTTTCTGCGGGGAAAACCCAACAACCATGTTTTACTGGACGAAGACGAAGTCCGGGGTTTCGGAGACACTCGACAGTTTAGGTAACATGTCTAAAGCGGAGATTCTGAGAGGAATCATTACCGAAAAACTGACAACGGCCGCCCAGGAGATCTTAGCGGTGGTAGGGCGAACCATGGCGGGATACGAGGAGGAGGCTTCCGGCTTCAGGAAGGAGATTGACCGGCAGAGGAGGCAGCTGGAGCTTCTGCAGCCCGAAAGAAGAGGTCAGTGGCTAGGTCAAGTGATAAGTTATTCTATGACTTAGAGTAAAAAATAAATTCAGTTTTACATCGGGGATGTTGAACTTCAATTAAAAAATTGCACATTTGAAAGTTTATCTGCGCTCTGACAAGTTTACAGATGTCGTATTAAATAAAGTGAACACTTGCACAAATCTACACCATGTGACTTATAATTCGGCACTTGCACATTAAAAGTTGGACTGAATGTTGTAAATTAAATCAGCTTTCATTAAGGCTCATGGGTCTTTGTAACAGCAAATCACAAATAGTTTTTGAAACATTCATCTGACGTAACTTTTTACCTGACAACTCAAAGCCCAGATCCCAGGTCTGGACAGCCATGAGGTGGTGGTTCTGAGCGAGGAGGAGGAGGAGGAGGAGGAGCACACACACCAGACAGGTAGTTTCATTTCCTAGTTGCCGAAGGCATCAAGGTTCCCTCCAGTTTTTAACATTGGAAAGTTACAGAGATCAGTCAGTAAGGATTGACCAGTCATGGTTTTTGCTTCTGTCGTGGCAAGAGTGTGATACCAACTAAATTAATTCAGACAAACCATTACAATTTAAAGGATCATTTAATATTACAATTATTCTGAATAGAGTAGCATTTAAACAAATAATCTTGTAGTTAGGGAACAGAGAACAGAGATCAGAGAACTTCCTCTTGCAATGGAATAGATAAAGCCTAAAGATTGTCGGAGCACCAGTCAGTCAGGTCAGGTCATTTGTTATCAGTCCCGAGTCAGCGTCTTCCCCAGCCGGCTGGGTCCCAAAAAAGTACATCGTCTACTGTTCACTGCAGCATGGTCCTTCTCCTCTCTACCCCTGGCTCCCTGGGGCTGAATAATTTTGCACGCCCAATTTTTCAGTTTTTTATTTGTTAAAAAAGTTTGAAATATCCAATAAATTTCGTTCCACTTCATGATTGTGTCCCACTTGTTGTTGATTCTTCACAAAAAATTGCAGTTTTATATCTTTATGTTTGAAGCCTGAAATGTGGCAAAAGGTCGCAAAGTTCAAGGGGGCCGAATACTTTCGCAAGGCACTGTACATAAGCCCATTGTCCACCTCACATGAACTTAATAAACACATAATCACTCAGCTCTCCCTTACACAAGCTAATACCAAATAAAGTCTGTATGAGCTACATACTGTTCTATTACATATTTCCTCTGGAATCTGGTTTATTATTAACCACTACACTTCCAGTCTTTACCTGGGTAGCTCATCTGATATTTATGATCATAATCAGTTGGTGAACACAAAATATCAGTTCACTCTCATACAAGATGAAGAAAATCGAGGAATTCTCACATTTATAGAACCTGAGACTTTTTTTTTCTTGAAAACTAACTTAGAAATGTTAGTGACAACAATAAATAATATGCAAATAAAGATTAATTTCCTCGTAAACTACAAAATTCAAAGTAACATTTTTAAATGCCTTAAAGTTTGATTTATTTCCCTCTGTGTATAAAAATAAAATAGACATTTCCTGCAGCACCATCAACATACAGACGATGTGCTGTTGTTCATATACAATAGCTGAGGTTTGAGCTGTTGTGGTGCTGGATTTGTTTCATACACCTGAAAAATAAAAGCACTTATACAAATGTGACTTCTGATACATGTGCCATCTCTGTTAAGGTGCACAGGACGCTGGGAGTCAGGGCGTCCTGTGGGTTGATAATGATGAAGAGGAGCAGCTGTCCGTGCAACCGGAAATGAGCTCCAGAGAGAAGCGAGAAGACCTGAAGGATCCGGATTATCAAATGCCATCAAGGTAGCAGATCTTCGTATTACCTGAAGAGTACAGTTTGCTGTATGGACACACTGTGTAAACTGATTTGATGCTGGTGAATATGTGATTCTTGTCCTGCTGGACTTGACTGCCGCCTTTGACATGGTTGACCATGACATTTTAATATCTCAGTTTCAGCATTTAGTGGGCATTCGTGGTGCTGCCCTAGCGTGGTTTAAGTCATATTTATCGGGTAGATCAGTGTCTGTCGGGTTGGCAGATGTGGAATCTGTGACAACCCCTTTGTTATCTGGGGTCCCACAGGGCTCCATTTTGGGGCCTTTGCCTTTTTCATTGTATTTACTTCCCCTTGGCTCTATCTTTAGGAAACATGGGGTCTCTTTTCACTGCTATGCTGATGATGTCCAGATTATTATGCCACTGGGTAAGAAGGGCACCTACTCGATCCAACCACTTTTAGCATGTCTTGCCGATATTAAGGGCTGGATGTCTCTAAGCCGTTTAAAGTTAAATGATGCTAAAACTGAAGTTATAGTGTTTGGCCAGAATACGTCTGGCGACCCTCCCCCGGTAGACTTAGGGTTCCTGGGGCAGTATGTGCGACCGGTGATCACGGACTTAGGTGTTAAATTAGACTCCGACTTGAAAATGGAGAGCCAGATAAACGCGGTCGTAAAATCTGTTTTTTTTTATCTTGGCCAGTTAGTGAAGGTAACCGGACGGTTTGCCAGAATCTCTTCGAGGCCGACTGATAGTCCTTCCTCATGGCCTCACCGAACTCTTCCCAGACCCGAGTTTTTGCCTCCGCAACCGCCTGGGCTGCAGCC